CAAATTAAGATATTTAAGATATTAAGATCGCTCCTGCATACTAGTCCATAGGCTTCTTGAGGGAATGACTCGAAAAGTCATTAAAGACATCGTTAAAATAGTCCAAGTGACTGCAGTGGCTCAATCTTAACTTTATCAAACGACGAGAACAAACAAAAATAACGACTTTATTTCAACTATTCACTTCCTTCTCCATGGGCCTGTAGTCAGTTAACGTAGTGTGATTGCGTAAAGCTACGTCACACGAAGGCTCACTATTGGCCGACGCTGGTCATGTGTGTGATGCGTGTGACGTACAACAGAAGCTTACGCTATTAAAGGACAACTCCGGCGCAAAATGAACCTTTGGTCTAATTACACATTGTTACCTAGTCAACCGTTATCTGAGATTTGTTTTCATGATTGCCGAATGTAAATAGTTTTATCTCTAAAAACAGTTTAGCCTATAACGCTAGTTCAATGCTAGTATATATAGGGCATAGAGTAATGACAAATAAAAATCGCTTGTTATTACCACTAACAAGGCTCAAAATAGCCCCATACCAAAACGACAGCATAACAAGGGTCCCTACATTCAAACCGAAGCGTTGAGAACTTTGTCAGTGTCCACACAGTTTAATAAGAAGATATTTTATACACACAGTAAATTTCACGAATACAGGAAGAAGCCATCTTTGAAAAATAGTCTCTACCAGTCGATCTACGAACGCCGATCCAAGTGCGCTGCACTGTGCAGAATCTCATATGATCCGTTGTTTCCAGAAGAAACACAAACACAAACCGTTTACTTCTCTTCAATATGTACATGTAGCCTACTGTTCGCGCTCACCTTATCACCTTATTCACATCTCACCAGCGCACTTGGATCGGCGTTCGTAGATCGACTTGTAGAGACTATTTTTCCAAGATGGATTCTTCCTGAATTCGCGAAATTTACTGTGTGTATAAAACATCTGCTTATTAAACTGTATGGACACTGACAAAGTTCTCAATGCTTCGGTTTGAATGTAGGGACTCTTTTTATGCTGTCGTTTTGGTGTGGGGATATTTTGAGCCTTTTTAGTGGTAATAACAAGCGATTTTTATGTGTCATTACTCTATGGCCTATATACTAGCATTATACTAGCGTTATAGGCTAAACTGTTTTTAGAGATAAAACTATTTACATTCGGCAATCATGAAAACAAATCTCAGATAACGGTTGACTAGGTAACAATGTGTAATTAGACCAAAGGTTCATTTTGCGCCGGAGTTGTCCTTTAAACTAGTAACCTGACTCGCGCAGACGGAGAAATAAACCAATAGTTGAAATAAAGTCGTTATTTTTGTTGTTTTTTGCACACAAAAGTGTTCTCGTCGTTTGATAAAGTTAAGATTGAGCCCCTGTAGTCACTTGGACTATTTTATTCTACTTGGATGTCAGTGTGTGTGGTTATGCATCACTCTCTGAGCCGACCTGAACAAACGGTGTGTGTGTGTAATGTTGCACTACGTATATCTGGTTCTGATCTTCATGAGTCTCCTGTCTCTCTTCACCTCTGATCTCTGATATGATCCTCCGTCTGCCGGTGTGTGTGTGTGTGTGTGTGTCAGCAGTGAATGAGAGAGTGTGAGCGACTGAGATTATAATAGATGTGATGATTCTCTCACAGAGGAAATGAGCTCTGAAGTGGAGAGTCCTACACACACACTTACGCACACACTCTCATTCACAGTCACACACTCACACAGACACAATTACACTTTATATTTTATTTCATTTCTGAACTAAGTAGAGTATGCATGTATATTCCTTATAAAAAATGATTTTAGTTTGGGTTTTTGTCATTTTTATTAGTTTATCAGTATGTCTGTCTGTCAGTTTATGTGATGTTTATAGCATTTGTAACTAGTTGAATATAATAACTGTAATATCTTTAGATCTCAGAGCCAGATGAAGAGAAACGGCAGTTTATCAGTTTCCTGTGTGTGTGTGTGTGACGCTCCCAGATTAACATCTGCCGAGGGATGATTGACGGGTGATCTAAACTGTGCCGGCATTTTAATTAAAATGTCCAAATCAGATAATCTCCTTCTCGACTTAAATTAATAAACCTCAATCAGATTTCTGTGAAAGACAATAAAAGAGCTTCTGATGTGGATGATCACACACACGCACACACACACACACACACACACACACTCTCTCACACACACCTGTAGATCTCATCGGTTCAGATGATCAGGAGAGCGGTTTGCATGGATTGTGCGCTGTGTGATGTCACTTCCTGTTGTCTGACCTCTGACCCCTGACCCTGCGCTCAGGTACTCGTTCCAAGACGAGGAGGACATGTTCATGGTGGTGGACCTGCTGTTGGGGGGAGACCTGCGTTATCATCTCCAGCAGAATGTGGCGTTCACCGAGGACGCGGTGAAGCTCTACCTGTGTGAGATGACACTCGCGCTCGACTACCTGCAGAGCCAACACATCATACACCGGTGAGTGAGTCGAGTCACCTTTATTTATATTTATACTGCGCTTTTTACGATGCAGAGCGTTTCAAAGAAAAACTGGAAAATAAAGCAACACAGTTTGTTTCTAGAAGAAAATTGTGTCACAGTCCAGCTTCAGTAACATCAATGATGTTTAATTTTTGTGGTAAAAAAGTTAGTTTAATTTAAAAAAAAGTTCATATATACCGTATATACAGTATAGCCGCCCTGGAGAAAAGTGACAGAATGGAGATAAACTCTCGTGAGAAACCAGACTCACACTCAGTTCTCCTCAGTGTGTGATCATGATCAGGTCAGAGGTCAGATTGGATCAGAACATTCAGAATATTATCCAGATCAATCTGGTTCAAGATCAGAGTCACGCCGGATACAGATACGGCTCGGACTCGGCTGACTGTGGTCGTCTCCATCTGATCTGGATACGGACCGGATCCGGCGTACCGTATAAAATCCGGATTTTATGCAGCCTAATAATCATTTAACTGATTTTAATAATACAAATGTATAATGTTCTATGTCTATACCATATTACAGTTTTTTCCAATTGCTAACACACTAAAATGACATGCACAGCACAATTCTTTAAACGCACACACGGAGAGCAAAACTTCTTCTCAAGTTTCCAAAACTCATTTTCTGCTTTACACACATTTTGCATTTCAAAATGCCCCTTTTTAAATGCACTGAGCACAGTTCTCTGCATAAGACACGACAATCTGACATAAAGTCATTCAATCTGATCATTCATTTTAAAAAGATGTTCAAAGAAATTATATTCCAGAGTTACAGAGAAACACAGTGTTAACTTGAGCTCATATTGAATTAACCCGTAGTATAAATATTGTCATGTATCAGGAAACGTCCTTATGTGTATAGAACTTCTGAATCAATACTTTCATGGATTATAGATTGATTACTTATTTAGATTTGTATTTATTTATTTTTTTTAGGTATTTGTTTAAATATGGTATATACATAAGTTTTACTTCTTTCTACTCCTTTTTGCACATGTAAATAGAGGGTTGTTTTTTGTTTTGTTTTGTTTGTTTTGTTTTTCTTCAAGTATTGGAAAGTTTGGATTTTTTTTTTACCTTGTTCATTTTTGTTTTGTTTCTTTTAATTAATATTCCTTGTTTCATTGATTAATAACTGTATTTTTATTTATTATTTAAATGTTCAAAATAAAGATCTCAAATCAAATCAAGTCACATGTTTGCCATTTCAAAACACTACCATTCAAAATTGACCAATTACATGTGCCATCTGGCCAAACACCTCAATGGTTAATTGTTAACACTTCAATCAGGATGTAAGCACTATAAAAAGTATAAAACTATAAAAAAATAAATTTTTCTTGCCACTTTTTTTTACTGTAATATATTTTCTGGAAGTTTCTTTTTCAGTTTATGTATATCCCATGTAAATATTTCTGCTGTGCATACGTTGCACTGACCTGTTTACTGTAGTGAATAATACATTACTGTAAAATGAAGTTTCAACAGCATGTGTGTGTCTGCAAATATTTCTGTGCATGTGAACAATCTGATGCATATTTTAGTATTATGGCAAAGCATACTAAAGATATGAGTGCTTTTCATGATGCCCAACAGTGTGTAGTTGTTTTGGCAAAAATCTGGTAATATGAGTGAAGTGTGTGCCAGTTCATGCAAAAGTTTGATTTTGATAATGCTATGTATAGTTTCATTTTGCAGGATATATGAGGAAATATTTTGATAAAACCAGACTAGTTTGCAAAATTGTGTGTTAGCAATTGGAAAAAACTGTAAAGAGATGTGTTTTAGTCTAGATTTGAAGTGTCTGCTTCCCAGACAGTGTTAGGAAGATTATTCCACGTCCATCGCAATAGACGTGACGGACTACAGAGCGTTAAGATCTCGTAACTAAAGTACCATTTAGTGTTTTTTTTTTTACCTAATCAGTAATAATTTAAAATGCATACGATGTGTGTGTGTTTTAGTCAGGCTGTATTTAGTCACATTGTTTCTCCAGCGGTGGTTTAAGCTTCTCTCCGCATCTTTCGAGGGAGTGTTTCTGTCTCTAGTGTTATTTATTTGCACTAAGTTGGGGAGAAGTGTCTCCTAGCAACAGTGTGGCCTGTCACGCTGCAACAGAGGTATATTTAGTCCTGGTGGAGGATCCCGAAAACAGGAGCCGAGGCAATCGAATGAAGAAACTGAATCTGACGAATCCTGCTTTAATCAAAGTCTGGCACATGACTGACAGCTGTGATTCCTCAAGTCATGTGTCTAACTCATAACACCCTAGAAACACCCTAGCAACTACCCAGAATATCATAGCAACAGCCTGTGTGTGTGTGTCACGTTGAGTTTCCCACGGACTGATTCAGAAAGAAAGTATCTGGATGAAATTCTCTCTGCATGATGTTGGAGATCCCTTTAAGGATGCGTCTTTTTTCAGTACGCTCTGTGTGTGTGTGTGTGTGTGTGTCAGATCTGCATGAATTAATCCCATCATGCTCTCTGGCATCATCATGACAGCAGGGAATCAGCTGGCTGTTAATTAGCTGTGAGGGAAGCAGAGTGCGGCTTAAGCTGGACAGGGCTTTATTCTTAAATATTGTGTGTGTGTGTGTGTGTGTGTGTGCGCTCGTTGTAATTAGTGAGTGTGTTGAAACTGTGACGGCCCCCTGAGAACTGAGCATTCACACAAAGGAAGGCCGACAAATCTTTCAGAACTAGAGTCTCACACACACACACACACACTCAGATGCTGTCGGTTTTAGACGACGTGACGTGTGCATCAAGTGAAGGTGTTTGACTGAAACTGTGATGTCATAGAAACTGATGCGATGATGTCATTCTCTCTCCACACAGGGACATCAAACCTGACAACATCCTCCTGGACGAGCAAGGTGAGGTGTGTGTGTGTGAGGTGTGTGTGTGTGTGTGTGTGTGTGTGTCTACTCATGACTTTCCCTTCTAATAAAGAATGAATAATTGCACGCTCCTGTCTCGTTCTCACTCGTCTCTCTGTTGTTCTTCAGGTCACGCACATTTAACAGACTTTAACATCGCTACGATAATCAAGGACGGAGAACGAGCCACAGCGCTAGCGGGTACGAAGCCTTACATGGGTAAGACACATCCGCTCATCTACAAGATCCCGAACTCAAGCGGCGCGTTCATCAGTGCAGCACTCCATCTTTTAAAGAGAGAAATCATCATAAACTGTTTTCTGTTTTATATATTCTCTCATCGGTCGCGGAATGACATTTCTGCAACCTTTCAGTGATGATCACTTCTTAAAATACATAACTAAAGACATTTTTAGCTCTAGACGGTATTTTCCATGCATCCCTGTTTTCTGTTATACGTAGGGGGCGCTATTACGCATCTCCTGAAAGAGAACCGAATCTCTGGATCAGAACACATTACGAGAGAAGCATTACATGTAAAATAACACGATCATCAAACATTCAACAGCATATAAATTAAAACTGCGATAACGATTCCGGATCCAGTAAACCCGAAACAATGGAAAAGTCATGCTAATTGTTTAAAAAGAGCAGGAACATTCAGCTCTTAAACTGAAACTAGGAGTGTGTTTGAGTATTGTTGACACAACTAGTGTGTTAAACTAAATTATTACACGGCTCAGTGGAATACTTGATCCTGATTGGTCAATAGCGCCATCCAGTGGTGAGTTATTCCTAGGGTCACTATACACTCGCTAGGAACAGGTTTTCTTTGCGCAAGTTCTGCTTTGGTGAGCTTGTAAAATATTAAAACTCAGTCGAATCAATATTTTGTGTAGTTATTTCATTACTCCATCCAGTATCGTGGACTCGCTCTCTCTTATTTCATACAAGCGCAGCGGCGGCCATTTTGTGTCTATTGTTTTGTGCACTGATTTAATAACATATTTCAATATTTTGCATCTAATTATTTACGTATGTGCCAAGTAGCCGTGTAATAAGCGGGATAATGTATGTCCAGCCTGTTGTTATCTCAGAATAAACCCCTTCAGGTGTGTGTGTGTGTGTGTGTGTGTGTGTGTGTGTGTGTGTGTGTTAGACCCAGTGTTGGGTAAGTTACTCTAAAAAAGTAATTAATTACTAGTTACTAATTACCTCTTCAACCGTGTAATTAGATTACTGTACTAATTACTCTTTCTAAAAAGTATTTAATTACTTTTAATTACTAATTACTTTCAAAATCCCATATCAATCTCAACCAGCTGAATAATACAAGGATAGACATGAATCTGTTTTAATTCTTTCAAATAAATACTATAAAATTGCATGAATTATCCTTAAACTGACCAAGGTGGAGAAGGTCACACTATAAAAACATACTTTTTAACATCAGACAATACATTTTGATATTAAACCCACTATTGTTTTATGTCTGATCTCATGACATTTCACACTTTTTTCATACATACTTTACAATTATTCATATGAATTTGTACGAGTGCGGTCGTACGATTTAGACACCTCATAAAATGCATGTGAGATCGGATTGATCTATACACAGTATTTACCTCAATTACATCAGAAGTAACTGTAATTAAATTACAGATAAATAAAGAGTAATCCCTTACTTTACATTTTCAAGGGAAAAGTAATTAAATTACAGTAACTAATTACTTAGTACCTGGTTAGACCTGATACTGTCGGGTTTATTCTGAGATAACAACCGGCTAGACGGACATCATCCCGCACTTTACTGCAGTTTCTGCTGTTAGCCAGAGTCGGTCCAGATGAGATGGTCCCGTCTGAAAGCCTGTTATTGTGTCTAACAGCTCCAGAGATCTTCCAGTCGTTTGTGAGCGGAGGAACCGGTTACGCTCTTGAGGTGGACTGGTGGTCGCTGGGCGTCACGATCTTTGAGGTTCTGCGAGGTTGGGTAAGATTGAACTCTCTCTCACAGGGAACCCAGACAGCAACATACTGTCGGCCCAGATCCGGCCCACATCCGGGCTTTGTGGAAATCCACATGTGGGCCGGTACTATGAACAAACGTT